TAGAGTTATGTAGCATGAAGAAATATTTTTTCTTCCTAAAAACCATAGACGCCATCTCAAAGTACAAGCTCTTTCAAATGCCGCTGAGTTTGGCTAAAAATCTTTCTTTTTTGAAGTAATTTAGCATTGAGCATTTAGAAAATTTATCATATTTCTAAATTTCACTATATTTGATACACTACACGTTGTGATAACGTGTGCATCAAGGTTGTGGTTTTGATGAAAAGCAACGTTATATTTTTATGAAATAAAATCTGCTAACTGAAAAACCCATGAATCCTTGACACCAAATCCGTGAAATATCTAAATCGTATCGAAACCAGAAGCCCACAAACCACCCGACTTTATAGTGTTTACTTTCGATTGTACACATTTTCAAAATAAAAAATTACTTCCACCTGTTAAAGGCTGAACCAATCTAGATCAGAAAAATAAAAATTTCAAAGTGCCATATCTCAGCGAAGGAAAGAAGAATATTTAAGCAAACTCAGCGGCAAGGCTTGTACTTTGAGATGATATCTATCTACACTTTTGAAGAAAAAAATAATTCAAATATGGACAAAAATAGATATGTTTGCACTTTCAGTTTAGGATATCTCGGAGGCTAGATGCAATTGAGTGATTTGGACCACAGATTCGGATTCCGCTCAACAAAAACCTTCAGGAAAGGATACTCTGGTTTTGTCGTTGAATTGAATACGTTCGTACTCCGATGGGCAGTTTTAAAGAAAAATAAAATTATTCATTATAGTTATGACTTTGGATCAACTAACCACATGTCCGAAACATGCAATCTTTCTAATTTTACTTATAAGTAATTGGAATTAAGTCTCATTGTGTACCCCCAGTACAATATCCTTCAGTTACAGGACCAAATCGTTAATGAACTATGAAATCCTTGATCTGTCGGATTCACCGTTGATTCCATCTTGGTTTGTTACGTAGGTAGTTCATGTATCTTTCATTCACGTAAGTCATGGCAATCAAAGGTTGTCGGTTCAGTAGTTTTTGTTTTTCTTCCAACATTCCGCATAGAGCTTAACTTTTATTTTCTATAGGTACACCACTGTTGCCTTGAATCCCAATGGTCCATTTAGCATGTTTTATATTTTGACCTACCCAAATACTCACCGCGCCAATTAGCAAGGAGGCATTTTTAAATACCGCAAATTTCAAGATCGGGATATCTCTTTGGTCTGTATATTGTTTACAGTGAAATTCATGTACCACTGAGATAGAAGCACCTCGATGCCTAGCAACCCGTGTGCCGAGGCCACGGACGCAACTGCGTCTTGCCGCGTTGCCATCGGCGCACTCTTTCTAACATACATATTACACGCTTATGACGTCAGCCAAGTTTGAACCTCACCGTATGTTTCTCGACTCTTGTATCATCTATACTTCTGAAAAAACTGATCTGCTTTTACAAAACGCTGGTGTTACGCCAAGGGCGAAAATACTTTGAAAATTGGTTCAATGGCTTCGGAAACGTTAAGCGAAAAATTTCATCAAGTTGGTTGACTCGGCACTTCGCACGCGATACTGTCATCAATTCATAAATGATTATGCAGAAAAATTCAGCTACGAACATATATAACAAAAAAAAATAAATGGATCAAGTCTGTCAAACAAGCCCATACTATTAGTTCACAGCCCTCACCTATTTGACAACGTTGCCTGCCCTATCGACAATGCAGGATTCAATTTTTTCTCAATCGTTTTTTAACATGTTTTGAGTTTTTGGCCCCTATAGGTACCGGATGTTTCAAATTCGACCCTCACCATTGGAATCTCGGAAACGGTAAGACATACGAAGTCGCTTAAATAGGGACAAAGATGCGTATTTAGGTAACTAACAAGCTACCACTTAGAAAGTTTCAAAATCCAAAGTGCTTAAACCGTTTTAAATCTTTTCCTGATTTTATTTGTAGTGGGATTCCAAACTGAATTGCACATTAACATTGTCACTTTTTCTCCTCTACAAGATGTCATAATTGGACTTTCAATGTGACGTTTCGTTTTTGTGCTCCGGGTTCAACTTTATTTTTTCGTAGAAAAACTTAATTGGATTTTTGCGCAGATAACTGGAGTTTTTAATTCTAATTACAAAAATGTATAATATGTCATACGTTGACATTGACTGACCTTAGTTATTCGAGAAAAACAGAAGTTCCTAGGTAGGCCTTGAAATTATCAGATTTCATTTGTTTCGTATACCAGACCAGACCTCAAATTGAACATACCAGCAGAGTTTGGAAGTCTGAGAAGAAGGAACTTAAATCGAGCTATTAGCAATGTACCATACAGAGAGTCAAGCTTTGCCTGCAAAATAACCGACCACATTTCAAACATCTGCTCTGATTTAGGTACTTCTGTTTAGTTATGATTATTATTTTTATTACCATCAATCAAAATTTCATTTTGTGCTCAGGTAGAGTGAATTTAGGACTGAAATGTCGATTTAAATGTACAAATTTCCAACATAATGTCCATATGAAATAAATAATAGTTTAAAAAGACTAAAAAAAAACACGCTTTTATGGCTAACCTAACTAAGAAGTATAAAATAATTTTTAACTACAAAACGTTCATATTACAGTGGTAGATGGTCGAACAATTAATCATGATTGATGACCTCAAAATAAAATTATTAACAGAATAATTTAATTCAGAGTGCTTGATATATTAAATGTTGCAATCGTTTTATTGTCAACAATCTATGAGAGGAGAGTTAATGAAAATGTAGTAAACTGCACCCCACGTTTTTTACTCTGAATTGAATTATTCTGTTAACTGTTAACTTACATTTTAATATAATATTATTTTGAGGTCATTAATTATGATTGATTGTTCGACCATCTACTACTGTAATATAAACTCTTTGTAATTAAAAATTATTTTCTACTTTTTAAATCGGTTAGCTATAAAAGCGTGTGTTTTTAGTTTTTTTAATCTATTATTTATTTTTTAGTTCTATTTATCAATTAGTTTTTTGTGGACATGTGGTATTGAAATTTCTTACGAACCATTTCGTCATCTAATAATTTCATTTAAAGCTTCACTGTTGCATGGGGTTTTTCCTGTTAACTTAGAGCAATCAAGGTCTTCAATCCGAATACAGTCTAAAGATCTTACACGACTAAGCGCTACATAAGCTTGTGCAGCAGCAAACAGTCGCTAGCCTAGACTGCATGATCGACTGTACAGCCTTGCATCTTGTGGATGGTCGAAGTCCAGCTCAGGATTAATGGCAACAATCGCAATAAACAAATTGAGAATGCACTACCTTGAAAAAGTGTCTGCCCCCGTTGTGCTGTGCCGAGTGCCCGAATCAACGAAGAATAAGTCCGAAACTGCACGCATGCGCAGATAACACGCTAGCTCTATCTCTCTTACTTCCCTACAGAGGATCTATAAAAGAATTTATCAATCCTGGCGGTCCTAATAAGGAAAATGAAAAACTGTTGTCAAATTAGTGCATTGTCGTCGGTCCTTGATACGTGTACGAAGTTTCAAATTAATCAAACTTCTGGAACTTGGTGAAAATTATGCTCAAAGATTCTGTTACATAAATATAGGCCAAGCTAATAAAAGCGTGTTAAAAACAAGGTTGGTGATGGAAGTCGAAAGAAGAAACCTCGAATGGAAAATTTGACTAAGCCATCTTGAAGAGGAGAAGAAATAACAATGACAACATGCAGTTTATTTTGATAATGATAAGCCTGGCATGCAAAAAAATTACTACCTGATAATTTCAACGCCTACCCAGGAAATTCTGTTTTTTTGAAATAACTAAGGTTTTGCAATGTCAATGTATGACTTATCATATATTTTTGGAATCAAAAACTCTATTCATCTGTGCAAAAATCCAGTATGGTATGATAAAAAAATAAAGTGGATGCTGGAGGACTAGAGACGAAATTCTAATTATACCATCTTGTAGAGGAGAAAAAGAAGCAATGTTAATGTGCACTTTATTTTGAAACCCTACTACAAATAAGGTCAAGAAAAAATTTAAACGATTTTGGGAAATTTTGTTTTTGTCCGTGTCCCTCCGGAAGTACTTTGAATCTCGAAACTTTCTAAGCGATATTTTCTTAATTCCCTGGATACGCATCTTTGCCTCCATTTAAGCGTATCTCTTACGGTTTCCTGGATCCCAATGGTGAGGGCCGAATTTGAAACACAAGGTAGAATGCAGTGAAAAAAGTTTTGATGGGGTAGTAAACCGGGTATTTTTCCTGTTGTATGACGCTTAAATTTTGCACGTACCTAAAAGAAAGAAGAAAAAGTGTCAATCCACGAAAACTGGTCAGTCTACTTTGCACCATTCTGCTCACTTGAAGCAGAATGGAAGACAGCGATTCGATTACAAAATGCCAATGCAATGCTTCCGATTCCATAATGGATAAGTCATTTCCTTTCTTGGTATATTCATTATTTCTATCTGCGATACCAGCCACTCAGCTGCACCAGCCTCCTACATTTCCGAAATCACCCATCCTCGACTGTGTTCTGGGAACACAAGTCCATCCGTTACCCTCCACCCCCACCCTAATTTACACGCTACATTATATGTTTGCACAGGGTGCACAGGGTGCACTTCTCATCCCTCCACCAGTCAAACAAATCATCTGCAAACAAAGGCCTACCGCGAAGCGACTGTGAAGAACATGCTATTTCTGCATTCCGACCTAACAGGTTCATTTCAGGACAGTAGGCTACTTATAGTTCTTTGTGAGGAAAAGGAGCTTTTTGTTTTCTGCTTGCTCCAAGGGGAAATCTTGTGCAAAATCTGTAATTCAAGATATGCGATAGGTTGTTTACCTTGTAGTTGATGGTACGTATCGAAATACTTGCTAAACTATTAAAGCCGAGGTATGTGGAAAAGAAGTACTTTTCACCATTTAACCTCCTCACTATATACAAGGCCCGGATAAGCCTCCACTAGCAACCTTGTCATTAGTTATAGGGAAAATTTGCTTTTTCCTTCTACTTACCTCAAGTGCCGTTGATGGAATGCTCTCTATTAAAAAAATTGCATCTTTAATAGCTCAAGCAGATTGTTTAGATTCAGGATGCAACGGATGCAATATTAAAAGGCGCAAGCACCTTGATGCAAAAATCCCATCGATCTGTGAGTTTGTCTACCTACAAAAACATTGGATACTGTTAGTCATAAATTACTTTTAGAAACTTTATACAAATCAAGATTTCGTGTGAGGACTATTGGCAAGTTATTTGAATAATAGACCTCAATCATTTAAAATATTAGGATTGCAAAGCAAAGGAATGTTTGCAAAACGTGGTGTTCCACAAGGAGCAGTCTTGAGTCCACCTGTATTCAATATTTATTTAACATTAACTGTACTGGTGAAATAATTAGCTTTGCCATATTATATAGATAAATACGGGAACGATTTGAAGAATATTATTGAATGTGACTTCTGCAAAGTTTTTTAAAAAAGTCCGATTTGTATCTTACAAGTCTTGTCAGAGAATCTTTTTTCATATACAGGGCGCCATTTACATCACTATTTCGGTAAATAACTTATCATAACTTTTTTGTGCTACCCTGTATACAACAACTGACCGAAAAATATTATTTTCTCGTATTTCCACAACAAAAAAGGTTCATTTGTTAGAAGTGTTAAATCTAATAGTTTTCGAGATATTTGTTTTTAAAGTTTCCAATGCCTTATTTGTATCATGATGATAAAACATTTTTATAACAGAATAATCAAGTTGCTTTGGATAATATCTGAGTAGCGTTGCTATGGTTTATAGTTTTGCTCAAAATATGGACCGGCATAGTGGGGCTCCCAGAACTGTACGTACAGCTGAAGTTGTAGAAAATGTTTTAGACGCTGTCTTTGAAAATCCTTCTTAAAATAGAAAATAAAATTGTAACTTTGCCAACTATCAACTTTTAAACTAAGGTATGTTTAGGTTAATTCACATATTTTGGTCTGTAGCATCTCCAGTTTCGAGATTTTCCAACCTTTCGCAGACCTACCCTGTATACCATATCCTAATTGAGCACATATAAGCATGGGGTGCTGCATGCTCCACCTAGATGTATTAATGATTCAGAGAAAACTATGACAAGGGTATGGGATTTCTAGAAACCAAAAACAATGTGTAACAAACACCTTGCAAAAAGTAGCAATGATGGGAACGGCTCAGATAATTAGGGGACCGTATCGTAAGCATTCCGTAGAAATAAACTTCCTCAAGGTCTAGACAAGACCTCTGAGGATTTTACTCCTTTATTCTATATACCTAACATTTGCTAACGAAGAATAAGCAAGAGATAATAATAGTTATATATTATTAATAATGTTTATTTATTATTATTATTATTATCATTATTATTTTCAGAGATGATGGTTATTCATATCTGATGTTGTTCAGAGGAAAGATGTTCTAAAAACAACAAATTTTATCGCTAAATTTTTGAGAAAGGTACATGAAAATAGATACCTTCAATATCATTTTTCAATCAATTTCCTCCAAATACAGATATTTTGGCGTCTCGACAAAAATTTTATGGATACCGGTACATATACCTAAAATAATACGGGATATAGTTGGGTTTATAGTGCAACAAAAAACAATTTTTGAGAACGATGGTAAATAGGGATAGTTGAAAAAACAAGAGTTATTATGATCACTAAAGTGGATCATAGTAATTTTATAGTGCTGACTACTGACAGTCATGACATGTTGCTTTTTTCAGATTTGGACGTGAAGCTAATCCCAAAAGCTCAAAATCTTGTCAAATTGTACCATAGAAAGGTTGTGGTAATATTTGTGTCCAAACCGAACAAGAAATATGAATTGGCTTATTATCATAGAATCTCGGAAGGACAAGTGACCATAAAACCAGAAGAACTACAGGAAAAGGTTACCTCGCCACATTGCGTATATAACAAATATCAGGACAACTCATTCTTGCATTTATTTTGTCTGTCATCTATAACGTTTGTTACATATTGAACAATATGTTCTTATAACATCCCCAATTATCGGAAACTAACCGAGTTTTCGTATTTAGATAAGGGAGAACGAATGTTTGCACCGCTACTGCGCAAAATCGAAATAACGAAGTAGCAAAACAAAAACACTCTGTAAGATTAACGCCTTAGCCATACCATGACCTGTAAAATGGTAACCATGGACCAAGGAATATTGTAATGACAGGGTTTGTGGCATCTGGCAACACTGCCTCAAGCCGAATTTGTGGTCCCAACAGCGTCATTCCGACGTTCCGGCACGCATGCACAGCCTCCTTCGACAAATATTTACATACCAGACTAACTACCAGCCTTTATTTGTAATCATCCGCATATTAACACCAGAGCCGATTCTGTAAAAAAAGGAAAGGATGAAATTATGGGGAACCGCCTCGACCGCTTGCTCATCACCAATTTTACCTGTCACATGCACTTAATGGTGCCATCCTGACATCACCATAGAGAGAAGACAGGGGCGGAGTCCAATGGCTCCACGCTTGTCTAGCAGGTTAACTGCTGCTTCAGGGTTAAAGCCGGAAGTCGTTACGGGTATTTTCATGGATTCCGATGACGTCACAAACCGGTTTCTACCGTTGAGCATATCGCTGCGGGGCAATACATATCCTGGCAATAATTAATTCCAGGACTCCAAATGAATAACGACCTACAAATTAATATAATTAAGGTGTGGAGCTTAACATATGGGCGAGTTTTGGAATCATGTTAAGTTGCCATTTCAATGTCAAAATTGCAAAAGGTCTATTCTACTATATTTGTAATTGTCATTCAGTGCGGTGATTCGGACCTTTGCTCTTTGTTCAAGTATAGCAGGTCTGTGGGCCTGTCAGGTCGGGTTGCCCAGATACCAGACGAAGTCCGGGAGAAATAAATGAAGAAGAACGGAAGGAAGGGGGGAAAGCAAAGAGGAGGAAGTGCTTCACTTAAAGGGGTGCCTTCCTGAGTCTCGTTCACACTGCAGTATAATGCGTAAGGATCTGTTGGCCCTCCTAGAAACTTCCCTTATCGATAGACCGGCTTCACGCCGCCCGACAATTCGACCCGTCTCAAAGTCACCTAACCGAGACACCTGGCGAATTCTACGCACTCTAGCATTTTGAGCAATCCCAAAAAGGGTTCTCAATGAGCTACACGAAATTTAACATTTAACTGACACCGTCAATGTACGAAAACTGAATGCTTTTTATCACCAAGCAATACGTACACAGCCACCACAAAAACTTGACAAACAGGAAAACCTGACCATTTTATCACTTCGTCGCTTGATTGTAGAAGTATTCTCAGTCAAAAAATGCAAATTTTAGAGGAGAGCTATTTTTCGTGTTTCGTCGATTTGGTGGTGAACAGTCGTAACCCGCAGAGTGAAAAATTCAGTTAATTCTATTAAACAACACTAAAAAGTATAAACTTTGATTCCTAAAAGGGTCATAACCCACAACCTTCTGAAAGTCTCCAAACCACAAGATTTGCTAAAAGAATTTGGCCACATTTTGTTGTGGTGAATAAGTGCGAGCCGCTTAGCACTTTTGTCAAATAATTTTCCAAACAGTGTGATCTAATATCCTGTTGAAGTGAATAGTCCTAATCCACACATTGAGCGTTTGTTTGTTGACTTGCACTGACTTGGCTTAGGCCCGTATCGTCAGTCGTCCCTACAATTGTAGGGCGCGTGTATGGCCTCCTTGCATGCTCCTTTCTCTCCTTCAAAAATTTCTAGATTGCACCCGTCCCGTGTCAGCGTCAGATATGTTTTCTTTTTATATTGTAGGAAATTTCAGGCTGATAAAACATGATATGACTCAAAAGTAAGCACAATTTGATGCAAATAGATGTTTGTGACATAACCTCAAAATAGAACGCTGACACGGAGAAGTAGAAAACTATGACAATCAAGGAGGCCATAAAGGCTCCCTACAATTGTAGGGACGACTGACGATACGGGCCTTAGCTTCTGTGTTAACAAGAGGCCAAACAATAGTGCAAAAAGCACTAGAAATGGGATTGAACAAAGACCAAAAATACCAAAATATCTTTTATACTACTAATACTATACTCCAAAACTGAAAACCTTCAACCATCAACTGCCCAAACGGATAACTTCATGTAGCATGAGGGTGTGGGTTTCTAAGGGGTCCTCAGAAATTGCAACTTGTTCTTGAAAACTTCTAAGCGGTCTTGGCAGTGAAGTCACGTATGTTTTGGCACAAAATATTTATCGGATTTATTATTATAATTTATTTATACACTAACTAGTTATCATAAATTACTTCGAATGTCTCTCTTGAGGTCCTGGACGGAATTCAGATCAATTTAATAATAATAATAATAATAATAATGTCTTTATTCCCACCAAAGAAAATACAAAACAAGTTGCAAAACCAGTCTTATAAGAACATATAGTGGGAGGGGCGAAGTTCGGCTTATCCGCTCTTCCACTTAACCCCTGGTTTTAGGTTTACATCATAATAAGGTAAGCATATATATAAAAATGAGATAAAGAGCATATACATATATACACATTCATATACATACATATACATATATACACATATATACCCACATATACATACATACATGTACAAGCAGTATCAGAGAATGGACCCTAGCGGCTAATTTGTAAAATGGTACTATAAAAATACATAATGCCTCCAAAGTCATACCATGCAATTCCCTGCAATGTAGCAGCGTATACGTTTTTTAAACAAATCAATAGAAAGAGAAGTATACTCTCGCGGGATATTATTATAAAGTTTGCTGATATTATACGAAAAAGATCTTTCGAATAAGGTGGTAGAATGAAAAGGCGGTGTCAGTTTAGTTTTGTTGCGGGTATTGCGATTGTGAGCTAAGTAACGGAAATGAATTTTTTCGTGTAAGTAGGAAGGTAGTTTTTGTATAATAATCTTATGGTATTGTACGAGGCTGTGAAGCAGCCTGCGTTGCTTCATGTTCAGCCAGCCAGCATCAGTAAGCTTTGCTGACACTGAATCGAATTTACTCAAACCAAAAATAAGTCTCAGACAAGAATTTTGCACGCGTTGTATTTTATCTGAAGTGAATTTAGTTAGACATTTGTCATAGACGACATCACAGAAGTTAAAATGCGACAAAACAAGAGAATTGCACAGTATGACTTTAGTTTTTTGGTTGATGTAAGATTTTTGACCGTATATCGTCTTTAAATTAGAATACGCCCTTCTGGAGCACTTGTTAACATGTTCCTCAAACCTCAAGTTTTTGTCAAAGTATAAGCCTAAATTACGCGCTATCGAGCTTATTTCTAAAGTATTGTTATCGAGGTTTATTTTCACCAGAGGTTCACAATGGTTTCTCCAATTTTTTGGCCCGAATAACATGACTGTACTTTTAGCCGGATTCAAGTCTAAGCATATATTTCGAGAAGCTTTAGTGAGACGATCAAGGTCTTTATTTATCAGATCAACAGCAGGCAATGTTTGAGCTGGAGGAAATGATAAGTACACTTGTGTATCATCTGCATAAAAATGAGCTTTACAAGAGTGAAGACTGAAGTATAGATTAGAGGTGTAAATAATGAACATTAGCGGACCCAGAATGGAGCCCTGAGGAACACCAATGGTCACTTTCAATGGCGCAGAGTACTTATCATTCAGCATTACCTGCTGTTGTCGATCGCTGAAGTAGCTTCGCATTAGAGACTCTGCATCGGCCGAGAATCCGTAAAAGTGGAGCATGGCTAAGAGTAGGTCATGATGTATCCTGTCAAATGCCTTCGTATAATCTAAGAGCACCAAGGCAGTCAGGTTACCTTTGTCAGCACTGCACAATACATCATCCACCACTCCCAGCAATGCTGTTGTACAGCTATGCGCCGGACGGAACCCTGATTGTGTATCTATAATGAGGTTATTCGTTCTTAAGTGTTCTCTTATCTGAACATCCATTATTGATTCAAGCAATTTAGATAATGTTGGCAATATACTAATATTACGCAAATCCTTGAGCTCAGATGGCTGAGCAACTTTAGGCAAAGGCACAATCAAAGCGTGCTTCCAACAAAAAGGAAAATAGCGACGCAATATGCATTCATTAATGATATGTGTCATGAAAGGAATAATTTTGGGGCAGCAATACAACAGCATTTCGGTATTTATCAAATCAGCACCAAATGCTTTGCTTTTGAAGCCAAACAAAGTATCTTTAACCTGATCTGTGGACGCCAAAGCGAATTCAAAGAGGGATACATTTGGTTTGACATTATTTTTATAAAAAGAAAATGTATCAGCATCAGGTTCTATACCTGCACTAGATAAAGACGTAAAGTACCGGTTCATTTTGTCAACATCAGCTAAATCAACTGGGATAGATGACCTGGGTGTCTTATTGCCAAAGTTCATAGCTTCTAAATCTTTCCATAGAGTCTTATAGTTCGTACTGTTAATTTTATGTTCCAAATGAATCTTTTTAGCATTATCAGTTGCTAATTTTACTATATTACGTAACTTTTTGTATTCCTCCCATTTCTGATCGCACCTTGATTTCCTATAGGCAGTGAATTTGTCATCTCTAAGTTTCATTAGAAATTTAATGTTATCAGTCAGCCACGGAGCTGGTTTTTTCGTAAACCTTGCCATTCGATAGGGTGCAAATCTGTCAAATAGCTCTAAAACTAATTGATTAAATATATTTAATTTCGTATCTATATCCTGACAATAAACTATCTGCATAAAGTCTACTTCATCCAGAGCAGTCTTAAAAGATTCTTGGTTGATATTTTTGAAATCTCTGTAGCTACGTAGTACAGGTTGTTTGGTTTCTACCTCATATTCAAGGACTATAGATATCAAACTGTGATCAGACAAATTTGGTACATTACATACATCACAAGTACTTGGAATATCATCAGAGCAAAAAAAGAGATCTAGCAACGTTTCGGAGGAGACTCCAAATCTGGTCGGCGTAGCTACTATTTGATGCAAACCAAAATTATTCAACGAATCATCAAATAACTTCACAGCATTACTGTTTTTATCGAGAAAATCAATATTAAAATCGCCAGTGCAAATCATTTTGTCATATCTCGGATATAACAAACTAAGTGAATCTTGAAACTGATTGATAAAATCATAAACGTTACACTTAGGAGGCCGATAAACGACTCCAAAGCAAAAACTCGTCGCTTTAATTTTGAATGTAACCCACAATTGTTCAACTGAAGAGGTGATGTCAATAACGCTGCATCTAATTTTGTTAGTTATATAAATCAGAACACCGCCACCTCTGGAGTCAACTCGATCGTTCCTAAAAAGAGTAAATCCATCCAAAGATATGAGATCATTGTCTACATTTTGATTGAGCCAGGTCTCAGTTAATGCAATAATGTCCCAATCCTGGGAATTGACCACAGTGTTTTTGAAATCGACAAACTTGACTAAAAGCGATCTGATGTTTAATACTGCTATTTTAAGGTTTTTATTTTTATTCATATCAGTAGATAGATTAGCCATAGTCGACTCTTTCTTTTAGGTTTTGTACATAGTTTTGGTACATTGGACAACCTCTAAAATTTGTGGCATGGTCACATTGAATATTTTTTTTCTTTGTTCTGTTATAGTTCAGGCAGTTTATACATTTTGAAACATCAGACTTACAATCCTTTAACATATGACTTCCCGAGCATTTTGAACATATTATTTCCGTGGATTTGCATTCCTTTGCCGAATGACCGAATGAGTGGCACTTTATACACTTCACAATATGAAGGTGATCGCTTACAAGAGACTTCTTCCATCCTAAGAACACAAAGCCCTCTTGAAGTAAAACTTTCCGCACTGCCGGTGTAACTTCAATGACTATGTTGACACTGTTGAAGTGTTTCAGCTTCGTGACAAATTTTATGTCAGTCTGCTGAATGTTTGCGAAACTATTTAAGGAAATAATATTGTTTACTATGTCCTCAGGCGAATTTAAGCCCTCCAAATTTACATTTCTGACAAGCATGCGAGGATTCAGCTTCCTGGCTTGGGTAATGGAATATTTTGATCCAAGTTTGTTATTGAGACTGGTTTTGAGCGTGTTAAGTGATTTGTCATCTTTGCAGTGAACCGCTACACCATTCTTTATTCGTTTAGTGGAGTTGATGCAAACGTTCAGATTAGCTGGGTTAACAGATGACGTGATTTCTTGGAAAATATTCTTGCTATCAGCATTTTCCACTGCATCTGCCTTGATCAGCAACACAGATGAACTAGCGGTAGATGGTTTCTTTAAAATATCGCTAAATGTGCTTGGATTTGGTTGCAATGCAATTTTTGGTGTCACATAAACATTATTTTCGTAAGACTTCAATAAGGTTTTCTGTAGTTCACTGGAGTACTCCAGTTCCGACATCAATCGCTTTGTAAGCTCCATTTCCCTATTTAGACATTCAACTTCTTTTCGTAAGATACTAGTCTCAGTTTTAGATGAATCACATTTCTTATATAGGAAGCAACGGCAGTCATCACAGACCCAGAGCAGATTTTCACACTCTGATATTATTTTTATCCAGCTGTCTTTGACTGAGACACAAGAAGTGTGGAATTTAGATGCGCAAATACTACAGATTTTCTCAGATTTTCATAAACTCACAGTCTTAATTGTTATATAATAAACCTTCCTAGACAGTTAAGTCCAAAAATGCAGGAAGTTTGGAGGATTACCGCTTTTGGGAACAAAAGGTATGTTGTGTTGTCAAAGCCAGTTTTGGGTATCTCTTGAGTAATGGCATGATGCTAAGTGTGGACAACACACAATATGGTCATTAGCATGATGTGCGTGGACAAACAGAAGCAATTTGGAAAGGCAGTTATCAATACAGCTCTGACTAGTCAAAGCTTCACCCCTCACCCTTTCCATAAAAGGTAGGGAGACACCCCTGTTAGAAATTGCGCACTAGACAAGGATTTTATCTGCAAATCTCGCTGCATTTTTCTAAAACTCTCTGCTAAAGAGAACCGTGGTAATACAGGAAATATATATATATACCCTCGAAGGTTGGTACACTGTAACTCCAACTGTAAAGCCTAAGCCATCGTTTTACAACGTTATCATAATGATTTACTAAGATTTCTTAAATTTTAAAGAGTTTTCCAAGTGTGCAATTGTAAACAAAAAGAAATTTGAAGATGGCGATACCTTAAACTGGTTAAAAGTAAAATGGATTCAATATAGGAGAGACCAACCTAACTGAATATTCTTTAAGGAACGTTCAAGTGAATCCGAGTTCCGTTCCATATGGTTAAAAATGAATGCACAAGAAATAGTACAGTAAATCAAGCCGTATCCAAACTGTACACTAACAATTTACCAATTGAAAAACGAATAATGCTTGGTTTGCCTAAACTTTGTGACTCTGATGTCATAAACTCGCCTTATCTTGGATTTTGACAAAAACTGATTGTTTGGATAATTTGTTGTATGCTATTACTGATAATATATAATAAAAATATTTATTGGAGAATGCTGAATATTCATTACATTTATACATCGAAATAAACTGTTACATCTACTCACATCTTAAAATAATATCAACTATATGCAGATTCATTGTAGTGAATGGAACTAAGCCACACAACCTAATAGTTATATAGAAATAAATATTTATTTTTCATTGATATGGTAAAGCATAATCCTAAAGTGAAACTGGCCAAAAAGATTTTTGTTTCTTCTGTTAATTATTATTCTAGAGAAAAAAAACAACGATTTTCAGGGTACATACTTTATTAAAATCGCGCTAGCTCGGAAGGTTGTCTATGTCGGTTAGAACCCTTCACGCCCAAGACGACACTTTGAAGGGTATCTATTTCAACTTTTTTAAATATAGTGGCGCATTTGCAGTAAAAAACAATACTGATTAATCAAGGTGCAATTGGCGGACTTGCCTAAGGTTTCTGAGAAATTTTGGACATAGAATGCTTTACGGGAAAAGAAGTAAGACATGAATTTTTTTTTTGTGTTTTCAGTTACACCATATAGCGTCAGAACTAGTGCAAGTCCTCGTGAAATAACTGTATGTCCTCGTGTAATAAAGCAGAACTATACTATGTCCACTTTCATCTGCCTACATATGTACGTTACTTAACATACATTAGCATCTGCTCTTTTCATAGTCGTGCAGCGAAGTGATGCACCTCAAGCTATTACGCCAAATATCGTTTTAGACCTGTGGTGGGGGAACCATTGCGTAGGGCTTTACAATAACCCTGCATGCGATGTTGTTTTTTATACAAAATTTAATACAAATTCTTTGATCCATTTTTTGGAATAGACAAAAATCGGAGACAAGCTAAAACACGTTCACGCACAATAGCTGTAAAAAACTAACTGAACATTCAAAATGGCCGATATTGTCAACATTAGTGAGGGTCATGAGTACCAACATAACGCCACAAAAAGATCGAAAATCAAACATACGTAACCTGCCTCGTATACAACCTTTTAGGAAACTTCCGAATTCTAGACTGTGGATGTTTCCCTCATCCATCTTAATCTCGCTTAAGCTGACCTCCCAATTGTATGATGTAGTTGTATCTCTGACCCACTTTAATCTACCTCAATCTGACCAATAATTGGAACCGCAGGTCATAAACTGATTATCGATGTATCAGCAAAATAGTTAATATCATCTGTGATTTTATTGGTCCTAACATCCGTCTGCCCAGGTAAGCTGAGGAGTTTTAGGTTGTGAAGGAAACATGCGAGTAGTATGACCACACCAAGGCTTTCTACATGATAAAGAATATGCACTATATATACATATATTTTTTGTTTTGTTTTATGAGTCACTTATATAAAGTATTGGGCAATTTTCGGATACTAACCTACTAGTACTGCCTGTAAAAAATAGCCGCAGATATAACAGTTTAGCTGAGGGCGGACCTAAAGTGGCCCCATAAATTCTAGATTCACCACTGGTATAACTTTAAGGTGGTAAACAAACATCTACTTTTATTCAGTAACAAATAGGGATACATAACTCAGGCTCAGGACCATAATTTCTAGATTTAGTTAGAAAAGTATTGATTCCTGGGAGAACACCATACCAAATCGGCAGTTTCCTCCAATTTAGCAAGTAAAATCTTGCTACCACATACTATTTCCTGGACACACCAAAGTCCTTAATTTGAGGGCTTATATGTTAAGTTTCAACGTCTGGTGCATAGAAGGCATGCGCTTTGTTTATTTTGTGTCAAGTGGATAGGCCATATGCCAAATGTGGGACATTCTGTGAATACGTCGTCTATTTATTATTGGTATTTCTAATAACTTTCATTATTGGCACATTTTTCACTCTAACATACAGTATAAATAGACCGCAGCCGTACATATTTGACCCGTTGTGTGGTAAACCAAGCAAGTCCCAGTCCCAGGCGCAGGCAAATAGGCTGGCCACATTACTACAGTCATCCACAAAAACAAGCCAATCGTCCATTCCATCTATCATCTCATTCCAGTACACCACCACAAACATGCGGCCGTGAGATAGTGCTTTATCATCTTTCTGCAGCGTTGCCAAATACCAGCATCATAAATTCTGTAAAAGCTCTTTACTAAAGTGTGTCCATCCAAGAAAGACAAACCAAAACATACAGGACCAATCCAGGAAGGCGGAGTAGAAGGCGACATCCGAAAGTGCTTCAATAGAAATATTCAAGGTTTTTGTGAATACGAGTAGTCTGTCGAAAGAGGAAGAACCCAACAGCTAAAATGCATAAGGCGGTTAACATTTACTGACGTCCATAGCATCGGTGTCTGTCAGTGTTAGTGAATTTCTACGTGATTTTATACACTAATGATTACTAACGTCCAGGCTACAAGGTCAGATCAAAGCTTACCGTTTAATTTCTTGTAATTGTAACGGATGTCACAATAACTAAAGTCCCACTCAACATGAAATAGCTTTCCATGAATATTCCCTAGAATAGTGTAAAAGTTTTCGACTTGACAACGCCGCTCAGTGCTCCAATGCCCTTGTAGCCGGTACCCAAACAAAAACCGGGTACAACGTCCTTCGGCCGGTGTCGAGACGGTCGTTCCTGGCGCGTGGATGTGGCAACGCCGCAAGAAGGAGTCTTGCCGCGCTGCTACAGCGGAGATGACTTAACGAGATACGGGCTGCGTTGCTAGATGTAGCGCGGCTAAAATCCCTGAAAAGCTTTTTAATGGGGGATGGTATTTGTGAGGTCCAAATCCAAATAATTTATTTTTGTTTTCCAGAGTTTACAGGTTTTTAATTATCTCGGCATTAGTCAAATAAGAATTCATCTCATGTGATGTGTGGTGTCGAAAAAAGTCTTTTGAAAGGGTCAAAATTTCAACAAAATACCAACTCCGCTTTTCATCATCTTTCTATTCTTGTTCAGTTTAGTGGTAGTGAAAGATATTTTATATGGTGTTCAAAAATTTGAGATTAGTCATTTGTCATAGTTCACGTACAATGTAGAATGTTGATTAGCCTTACGTGAGAAGTGCTACGTCACTCTAGCGTTGCAACTGAAACTCATCATGTCGTTTTTATGCTGATAAAGCTCCATGTTTTTCTGACCAAATGAAACCATGTATAGGAATGACTTTTTTGTAACGGTCCAGTTATCTCGCTGACCTTCTTCAAAGTACAAATTAAAATGACATCGTGACTCCATTTTTTATTCTTAATTAATTTTACAGTCAAAAGGTCTATAATCATTCAATAATACCAACCTTCCATTTTTATTTAAAAAATATCCAAAACTTTGCTTCTCATTATTCTTAATAATGTACTATGGAGCAATCTCTAGTAAAAGCGCAACGGAAATATCTTAAGAACTAACGTACTACACGTAGCATCAATTTTTGGGTGCTCTGGGTGGCCAATAAAAATCCAAAGAATACCAAATCACCTATCTTCAGGTTTTCATAATTTTCAAGTCGGGAAAAATGTTGATGCCCTGAAGCCTTGTTTGTTATTGTTTAGCATTTACTGACCTCTTCAATAGATCTTAAGGAATTGAAGAATTAAATAATAATGCGATTCCACTTTATATGTTACGTTTATCATTTTCGACAGAAATGAAGGACTTCGATGACTCCACGCTTCTAAAGTATGATATTTTTATATTGATATATTAGTATGTACATCAGTAGCTAATGTGGATAGTCCCTAGTTTGGGTATTCGCGAGTTGATCTGGAAACGTCGCTTGCAAGTCGTACCCCGGCTCTGATGGCGCGGGGCGTGGGCGGGGGTGGCCGTCGGTCGCCCGATTCCGAAATTCCTTCTCGTTGCGGCGACAAGCGGCGCGGCAGCCAGCGGCGAGCGGCCTGCCGGAGGGCCCGAGTTGAGTCCACTCGAACCACGCTTCTGCGCTGCCTCATTATCTCACCTCGAGACCGGCGGAGCTGCTGACTAACCGTTCGGACATAGGACCGAGGTACTGCCGGCGGCCGATGTTGCCACATGCGGCGATTGGGGTACAGTACAGAATTCTCACAAAGTACCACAATGTGTTTACCAAATGGTACCGTACCGAGAATTTAGTGGATCATGGGTCCTATGAGGGGAAAGTTAAAATAATGGTCTTATGCTCCGCAGCTGAATCTTGTACAATCACAAAATATCATCAGCACAACTGGTATACTCGGGTACCGAAAAGGAAGAGAGTGGCAAGACACATTGCACGACACTTCTAGCGCGGCATCTCTTTGAATACGGCGCGTTACGCACACGCCGACCATGTGAATTCAAAGGCCAGAAGTAGCGTGCGATGTGTTTTGCTGCTCTCTTCGTTTTCGGTACCAGACTATAAAAACAATTGACTTTCAACCTCAGATTATTTTATTGTGTTTATATAATTGGAGCTCTAGTTCGATATTTTACTCAGAGCAAGACTTTTCGTCATTCAAAATTCGGATATATTTGGCATTTACATGGTTTTGAAAAGTGAAGCGACCCTGCCCTAAAGTACCATTACAATTTCGAATACGTGACCAATACTAGTTTTGTACTCATGTATCAAATTCTAAGCCGGTGCTCTTTGCAGTGGCGGATTTTGAGGAGGGCACCCTCTGGACGTCCAAGTCAGCATTTTTTTCAAGAAAATGGTATATGTTGCTGTCAACGAACGGTTGCTGTATCTTGTAAAAATTGACTATGAGGTAGACCTAAATTATGAGGGAATTTGGTCTCATAAGTGCTTCTTTGAGTGTCCCACCCCGATGTATATCTAGAGATTGAAAAATACGTTTCCATAGGAGTCTAGATCTAGAATGTTAAAAGATGTGCTATGAGATTTTTTTCACTTTGACGATCTAATTATTGGCTTACTAGTTGTACGACATCAATATAATTATTATAGATATTGGTAGAATCACATGGTTGGTTTGTTTGACGATTAAATACTTTGAACTTCTGCTCGCATTAGAAATATATCATATACAAGAACAAATATTTTCTGTTGTACTAGACAACATAGTTTCGTCTCGTTTTATTAAGTGTCTGTAGAAAATAAATAGCTACGCCACTGGTTCATAAATGATAATGGTGATTATAATTTTAGGGTAACAGCAATATGCAACTGAAAATACGCGCTTTTGTATCAACGGTTGCCTACCATTATGTACCGTTCAGCTACTCGACCTGCGAATTGCAAACACCTAAATATTGTTTTGAATTTGATTGCTTTACTTGTTGAGCATCATATTTTGTGGAATTATTATGTTTTTGTATATTTCACAGCAAAAAGAAACACAATTTTACAATCTGTTGGAAATGGTGTAGTAATTTGCGACATAAAATTTGCTTAATATAACATCTGAAACTTATCCAGTTGCTTTCGTGAAGATAATCCTCCATGTTTGTCTGGAAAATCAAGCCACATGTGTTTAAAATTATTCTTTTTTGTATACGTTTCGGTACCTCCAGTACAATTGACACGTTTTGGCAATATATTTTATTTATCTGTCTTTCAGATGATACTTGTTTTTTCTTTTTATTTTCACATTCCTAATCACTGTGTCACTATAATAGTCTGGAAGCTCCTATAACATGCAGATATTACATCCATCATTTGAAATTGTAAGGTGGAACTACACAAAACCAGCATAGCCTAGGACCGCCTGGGATAGGCATTCCCGCTCTGTCGTTTTTTAATGTACCTACTAGATACGCCACCCCCGTTTATCGTTCTGAAAGCGCCAAAGCCCTCCAAAAAGACACGAAAAAATTGTTTTCCAATCTTTGACTAAACTAAAACTTTGCAAGTGCATTGTTTATGGATCAACGCGAGAAATAATACGTCGATATTTAAAGAGAACTATGTTGTTTTTCCTATGAGAAAATAATATAAGACGCAGTTTGGCCTTGATAGCAAAAAAAACTTACCCAGTGTCACCTGGCAGACAGATAAATATCGTAAGATATATCGTCAAGAAAGTGTCAATTGTACTGAAGGTCATCGTTGGGACTGAACCGGATACTGAAAGAAGGCTTTTAAATACATTTGGTTTGATTGGCCAGACAAACATGGAGGACTGTAAAATTTGCTATTTCCCGTTCAAGGTTTTTGCAAAAAAATAAGGAGATCGTGCAAAGTATTCAAAGACCTCTTCATTCTATCAGATTATTTGTGTCGAAAATCAGTCATGATTATAATGAGAGAAAATATCTTAAAATAGTTATTTGTATACCTAGGGAGGTAACCGGAAGGTTATGGCCTGCGGCGTGAAGTTGCTTAAGTGCTTGGTTATCTTACTTTTTAGGAATCATCCAAATCCGCCTTTAAATTGGTGATCAGTGGGGGATACTACGCCCTGGAAACATTATCACAAAACAGCATGGTTTCTTTATCTATGTTATCTAAGTTATGTTATCAAATTTTAGGGGCCACAAAGCTTTGCATCATATCGCGATAACGCTCTCCTACTTCTTTGATCACCCTATTAGTCGATATCGTTTTTCCTCCAAGATCGTCATATTCAATGGTTTCAGACTTTTTTCTGTGCCGATTTCTAAAAATTAACACTATACAGAAGTCGACGTCAAGCCGGAAACAGGAGATAGACCAAGTCATAATAGTTACCTGTCAGAAAAATACTTTTCAAATCATAGGCTTTACTAAAATCAGATAAATCTACACCCTGTGATGATATTTCGGTACTGTAGTTTCTATCTCGGAGAAGAAAGTTGGTTGAATAGCAAGATCGCATCTAGATGATTGTGTATTGGTCTGCATGTGCATAAAATCAGTGATATTCGCTCTGTGAGAGAATCATTACCTAATATGCTGCCAATGAAGTATATCTATTGGCTGTGCCCGACGGGAAATTTTTATGTTGTGCTTTCTGAAGAGAGGTTATGATCAAAGTTATAAATTACGAAAAACTGAGGAGAATTTATTATTTCTTATCTCTCTCATTTTTTAAATTCAAATTTGTATATGCAATTTCCAGAATGAATAAGAAAAAGTGGATGCGCAACTAATTTCTAGCTTTGAATCTCAATAAGTGTATTGTATGTAATTATCATCAACACCTACAACAGAAAGCTTAGACCTCCAGTAATGCCATCTCAAACGCAGATTTTACATCACATCAGAGCCAAAGATTGATAACAAGCAACACGCACAACTAAGTGCTAAGTTAACATCTTGTAGAAAAACCTACATAATGTCAAAAAAAAACAGCATAATGTCAAAAAAAATCGGCATAATGTCACTTTTCAAGATACGTGATACCCGTGCGGATCATTATTTCCAATGTTACTAACACAACGATGTCACTTGCTGATCAGCTGTTCAATTCAGTAGAGGTCAAAACCGGGAAATAGGCTGTATACTGGCTTTGATGAATAAAATATTTGAGAGCTCTAAATTTACATAATTGATAGATTACTGAAAGGTAAAATCTTTTAAAGTTTATTTCAATAAAAAATAACATCCCAATAATGCATTGATTAAATATAAAATAAGGTATACTAAAATAATTCTCTTATCGTTTAAACATATAATACAAGATTAAATAAGAGCACGTTCTGTAATGTCTGCTTTATAGTCACCTAAACTTAATCGTACCCAACCTAATGACGTAGCACTTCCCATGGGTTGTATGAGTTAGGAGACTTTATAAACGCTTGTAACAATTAACATTCCAATAATGCGTTGATTAAATACATATAGAAAACAACTTAAATATTGTATTAAAAATTAAATTAAAAATAATTTTACATAACTCAATAAGCAAGTGAATAATGTGGTTGATAGATAAATTTAAAGGGATAATAAAAAAAAGTAATACTGGATTAAGTAAGAACATTTTTTATAATGTCGGTCTTATAAAGTTACCTAAACTTAATTGTACTCAACCTAATGACGTAGCACTTCCCATGTGACATTGAGTTAGGCTAAGGTTGTATGAGTTTATAAATGCTTTTAACAATTAACATTCCAATAAAGCATTGATTAAATACATATAAAAAAACAACTTAAAATTAATTTTACATAACACAATACGCATGTAAACAATGTGTTTGATAGATAAATTTAAGAGAATAAAAAAAATCTACTTTTATCGTTTAAACATATGTATAATACTGGATTAAGTAAGAACATTTTTTATGTCAGCTTTATAAAGTCAAATAAACTTAATTGTACTCAACCTAATGACGTTAGCCCTTCCCATGTGACCCTAGGTTAGGCTTGTGTGAGTTAGGAAAATTTATAAACGCTTTTTAAATATACAACATACATAATAAAGGAATAAAACATAAGAAACTCAAGGTGGATGGTATCTTCAAACTTTTCAGAACACCCAATCCACGTTTATAGTTCAACAATAGTTCACAAATGTCTGAACATTTTGTATTAACACAAACATATTTTTTGGAATAATGAAAAATAAATATAGTATTACCATAGTTGACAAATTCCACAAACCTAAATAGTATTTCATCTGTAGGTATAGGTAGGTTTTTAAGAGAGGCAATAACAAATTTTATAAATCAATATCTATTTTTTGGACAGTGAAGGATTGAAAAAAAATCTTTTCAGGTAACTGTATATGAGTTTAGATGAATTTTCCCCAAAACGTAAGAATTATATTCTTATTTCCATCTTCATCACAAGTGTCAATAGGCACAAAGCTTGAGAGTGCTAGAGGGCGTCATCTTCAAGATTGATCAAGCCTTAAATGTGTACAGTTTTGACGCAGAGAAATTGATGTAGGGTAGACATTTAGATTAACCACCATATATTTATGTAGTCTGTAGTGTACAAACTAGCTGGGTTTTAACCTCTGAGACAGGTAAGCCATGACTACACAGTCGAGCACAAGAGTACAAGACCGTGGCTTTAATCGTGTGACTCTAGGTTCAAGCAAAATTACAATTTTTCTACAACAACCAATCTCTAAATTAATTTTAGGCTGAAACAACCAGATGAATATAAGTATTCACTCCTCCAGACAGGCTGTACAAAAAAACGGACATGTGACGTGAGTTTCATTGTTTTTCCTATCCTTCAGCAAGGCAGGGGTATTTCTAGATTTATACTGTTTCGTCTGAGCGCTCTATTTTGAGGTTATATTTTCTTTTTGAATCCTAAGAATTTTTAGGGTGATAAAACTCTATTTTTATCATCTGTTATAAATCTTCATAAAATTTCTGAAGATTCGAAAAGAAAACAATAGGAAAGCGCTGACACAGAACAGTTGAAACCTAGAAATACCCCAGTCTCTCTGAAGTAGAGAATACTATGAAAATCAAGGAGGCCGATATTCCTACTGCATTATATCCATATACCGAAAACGCACGACCGGATAATTACTAGTACGTACTCAAGTATATGTATCTCATGGTCTCAACTATCTTCTACCGTTTTTTAACATACCTGTCAAAGAGGTTAACATCGAGCTAGTTTCGATCGTCAGCAAGTGCATATACACTATATACGTACACACTCTGGACAGTCAAAATGTAGCAAGTGCATATACACTATACACACTGGACAGTCAAAATGTACACCTTTGAGGCTATGTAAACTTTGAAGATGAGCCTCTCAAGCTTTGTGGCCATTGACATTTTGGGACAGCACTAAAATAGGAATATATAGATTGGTTTTAGAATAACATACCGATAGGAAGGCGCCGGTCGTTTGACGAATAATAGGCGACATAAGCTGGATAAAATTCATTATCACAATATTTCACCCACACGTTTCTATCTCTGCTTATACTTGTATCAATACCAGGTGGTGGGATTTGTAACCCCAAGGATCCTGTGCAATACCCTTGTTTTATTACTCTGACGATAAACATAGCTTTCTCGCCATCAACTCTTCTTGGAAACGTTTTGGCATACCCTATAGTTGGAGAAAACGACACCCCGTTACCATATTTATTTCCCAAATGTCCATACCTCCCTCTCAAGCGGTAATTCAAGTTGTTTGTACAAATCGAATCGACGTTTTCTGTTCTTGTACCATGGAATAACTCTTCCACAGTGGCGGTGCCACCTTTCTGTTGTTTTTTCAGCAGGAACGCAGCATATAGATATGGGTTCTGAATCCTTAGTATGCGACGAATATTACTGCAAAAGATTTAAGCAAAATAAGGCTGCTTGGCATGATTGCATAATTAGTCCGATATTAAGACAAAGATTTTTAAATCTGTATTGTTTGACGCAATTCCAAATCAGTGTACACATAGTCCGGGCTAGATAAAAAAAGGTGGGAAAAAGTTTAGTACCTATCTGAAAGTTTTAAATGGAAAAAATGAAAAATAGAAAAAGAGATACAGCCAGATATGCATTGTTTTTTTATAAACAATGGGAAAAGCCCAAAATTCAGTATTTGGCTTGTATAATTTTTTAATTAAATTTGATAAATCATCGGCAAACTGGAGATTTTAGGGCATACGAGTAGACCATAATTTTTTTTTTTTGAGAATGAAAATCGATAAACAATTAAGCTAAACACGGGGCTTTTTAGCAATATTTAACAAAATTATTAGAGTGTATTTTGTTAAGACTATACCAATTAACTGAATTATGAATTCTTTAAACAATTTTCATAGTATTTAATTTTGAAGAATATAAGGTGTTAAGTTTTCTGGGTTATCACAATTTTCCAGGAAAATGAAAATGTGCCAGATGTCATTATTTCGCCGAGTTATCCCAAATTGAAAAAAGAAGGTTCTACGTTGCTTAAAATCCGAAATAATGCAAAATTTTACAGCTCGCTCCGATTTGAAGACTCCATTTCAAAAAATAAATCGTGCAAGAAATGATCCCCCACCACCTCACCCGGAAATACTTACGAGAGTACCTTCACTTTAGGCAGCTATTTCTTAAACACCTCTGAATTAATACTAAAATTATAAATTGGATCATAAACTTAAGATCGCTGGTTAAAATCTGTGAAAATTTTGGGTCGTCATGTTTCTAAACAAACGAGACATGAATTAAAAAAATTATCTTGGCTTCTATTGGTCTTAGAAGGTTTTTTAAAATATGCATTTTTTATTCACGTAGCAAGATCAACTTGTTAAAAAAAATTATATTGAAAAACAAAGAGGTTATTGTAAATGTTTATAACTATAAAAATGGCTATTTTTAGCATCATTTTTAATAATAATTTTGAAATAAATAGTTTTTTTGGACAAATTATTGAATCCAAATTCACTTTTGTAAAATGTTCTAGGACCAAATCTTGGGCAAGAACAGTTAATTAAATAATTCGTCTCTGGGATTAACAATTAGATATTTACATAAACTATTAAACCGAACTGGCTGAAATTTAGCAAACATATTAAGACCAATGATGCCTTCGTTCTCACAATTTTTTAGCCATTTACAATTATTATTGCAATAGTTATGAACATTGATTCAATATTGCTAAAAGCCCCGTATTTGGCTTAATTGTTTATCGATTTTAATTCTTAAAATATAAAATTGAAAGTCTTTTTATGCTCTAAAATCTCCAGTTTACCAATAATTTATAAAATTTAATTTGAAAATTATACGACAAAATACTGAATTTTGTGATTTTACCATTGTTTATAAAAAAAACAACGCATATCTGGCTGTATCTTTTTATGTATTTGTCATTTAAATCTTTCAGATATCTACTAAACTGTTTTACACGAAATACCAATTTTTTGTCTCTGTAACCTGGGCTAACATATCAGTTAATGTGAAAAGTGTCTGTGTGAGGAGTAATGATTTTTTTTTAGATAACCTTTTGAGAAAGAGTAACTGCCTTCCCTATACAAAAAACTAAGCCTAATGAAGAATTTTGTGATGGCAATGAATAAAAATGGCAAAGGATTTGCATATTTGAAAGCTTGAAAGACGGTTTCAAGGTCGTTGAGATACAGCTTGTGCGTGAAGCAAGAAAATACTACCCGAAAAATAAAAAAATATTTTTTATGTTCAATATTTAATTTTTGCCAGATACTTATAGTTTAATGTGTGCAAATATAATTATAAGAAGGCATGTCGTCGGTTTTACTTGAATTATTTTTAATTAAATGAAGAAATCTATATACCTACTGGATGTTTAGTTTTTCATCCATATTACTAACAACTGTTACTTATCCTCCTAAAAAACAGTACGTGATAAAAAAAAGTAGGTATGCCTAGAGAAAGGGAGTTAGTAGACTTTGTCAGGTGTCATTCTATTTCAGCTTACGTTTGAGAATTTCTCCTATAATAATTATATTCGAGATTTCCTGTATTATTTTATGTGTAATTTTTAAAATATGAACTTACGGTATCCCGGAAAAACGGGCACGAAGCAAGGAAGTGTTGTCCATTGTGGTGTACGGCTTGGAAAAATCGAAGTCAGCGGTGCGATAACCGATATTACCAGCTGCGGAAATGATTTCCTCTACTATCATGACATCTCTGCGGATTTTAATAACGAAGCCTGTATAGTGAAAAAACAAATACACAATTTATTGAGTATCACCTTCAAAAAAACAGACCTTAAAATATTACTTCATCGCTTTCGATCTATTCCAATCCATCGCACTAAAGAATTTATAAATACATTTACCTTTGGTTGTGTGTTACGTTGTTGTTCTATGCACACGCTTCTACAATGGGTTAGGTAGAAACTATCAAACTTTTTTTTTGGAATTAAACAAACCAAAATATGACTGAAGCCCCAGCCAGTGAACGAACAGCGAAAGATAACAAATAATGTGGATTACGGCCGCTAATATTGTGTCCCACTTGCCTGTTATGGCTATAAAGAACTTCTAAATTATGAATTTTTTCTTGGGATACAAGTAATAGTTGGTTGAGACAACCGAGTATTCATTTCATTGAAAACTAGCACAGTATGCTAAAGAAAAACTAAATTGTTACATTTACATAGGTTCTTTTTATTAAAAACTGGATAATTCCAACTTTTGTCATTGAAGCCGTAATACTTGCGAAATGCAAGTAAAAAATAATAAGTGCAGCAGTCTTCTGTGTCAAAATTAAAACTTTGTAGCTGCTGTAGCTTTTTATTTTAGGAAATGTCTAAAACCGGTATCCATTATACTTTTTTATTTATTGTTGTAATGAAAGCTGATTTGAAATTTCGATTCTATCACAAATTTTTAAATACGGTTCTGTCTAAAACTGGCCAATCAGATGCTGTCCGACAATTGTAAACTAGCCGGCCAACTAGTAGCACCTTCTATCCGAGTACTTGTAAAAGAGCACCTTTTTGATTAATATTTTTATATAAAATTACAGGAATATCTTTAAGCAGTGTATTTCTTGTCGGCAAAAAGTTAACAACATATACAGTAAAGTAAAGTTTGGAACGCATCGAATATCTGACGAATGACTGATTGATTTTTTATAAAAAGTATTTAGAATTTCTCGCAGAATACAAATATCGAATGAAATGTATAGCATTCCATAAGAAAAACAAAAGTTGCTGTCAGTGTCTGGAAAACTGTACATTTGGCAACATTGCGGATATTATCAACAGATCCGCCGTAGTCGAACCTAACCCTACCAATTAAAAAAAATAAAATAAAAAATACATCGTCAGATCAGAATTCGAAGCGTTTCAAACTTTTGTTACGCATGATCACTTCCAAAAGCATTAGCTGTGTTATCTTGAACACAAAATTCGAAATTACACTTTGTATTCCACTTTTGTCTCAACTGTACAACCACTGGCACATTCACCCTACACCATCTTGTAGAAGGTAGAGGACAATAAATAACAATGACGACATGCAATTTATTTTGAAATCTCATCTCAAAGTCAGGAAAAAATAAACGTGGTTTTGTGATAAATCTGGTGGGCTAAACAAATGACAAAGGGTAGGACTTAGACTCCATTTTTAATGGGTCGTTTTTATGCTCCGTCAGCGTAGACATGGGATACTTCAGCAGCGCGCGAGACGACTTTCAATACGCCGTATAGAATATAAAATAACAAAATTTATAAATTTGTGACATGGAATAGTTCTGCTCTAAGGTGACATGATAATTTCAAAGCCTCTGTATATTCGTAAAAACTGAATTTAAAACTTTTTACCACCTTGCTGTCTATTTAAGCACGGAACACCCCGTATGTCCGCGATGTGCATGGATTGAAACAATTTTGCATTACCTGTAGATAGGTACATACATCGACAATGATTATTTTAAACTTTATCACTTATCAACCCTTCGCGTACTTACCTTTATTGTCCTGTAGACCTAACCTGCGAAATAAATCGGCGACATCCAGCGCGCAAGCCATATCCGAACTATTAAAAATGATTTGAATAAAACACTGCCAAAATTTGTTTGCTACTTGCTTGTCGTCTGGACTGAATAGATCGACTGAATGAGTGTAGTGCGTAGTAAGTGAAATCGAGAATAAAGCACGAACTTGCAACTAGAGAATTTGATGACGTTGACATGGGGTTCCCACAGACAGGCGACAGTAGCTCAAAATGCTGACTGCTTTCATCAAAACATGAAGATTATAAGTATTCAAAAATCAAAATCTAGGAATTTTGTAGTCATCCGTATCTCAAACCCGATTTTTTCCAAAAGCCTTTTAATTTTTTCCTGACTTTATTTGTAGTGGGGTTTCAACTTACACATTAATATTGCCACCGGTGTCAAGTTGGCAGACAAAATTTAGCCGACAATTTGCCGAAGATACCCGAATGACCAGTGGCGTCGGCATCCTCGACCAGACTGTGATTGTGAAGGATACAGCTAACAGCTCGCAACAATATGGAAGGGAACAAGAGTTAACCCAAAACCTTTCTACGAATTTTCACTTACCGATTGTTGTATACGTGGTATTGAAAGTAATTAATGAGCTAAATAGCATATACTGAGAAAAGGGGTGATAGATGAAAAAATATAAATAAAACTTCATTTTCACCCCCAAAAAAATGATTCCCCAAAATGATTTATATCTCAAAAAAATACTCTATTACAGAGACAAATCATGGGCTAGGTGGCATGGTGTGAGAAAGCTTCTGAGAGGCTGGCAGATAAAAAAAATATGTTTATAAATTCATTTTCACCCCCAAGGAAATGATTCTCCAAAATCAGTTGTACCTCAAAAAATACTCTATTATAGAGACAATTTAAAGGTTTGTGGCATGGTGTGAGAAAGCTTCTGAAAGGCTGGCAGATAAAAAAATATGCTAAAAAATCCATTTTTACCCCCAAGGAAATGATTCCCCAAAATCAGTAGTACCTCAAAAAATACTCTATTATAGAGACAATTTATAGGCTAGGTACCATGGTGTGAGAAAGCTTCTGAAAGGCTGGCAGATAAAAAAATATGCTAAAAAATTCATTTTCACCCCCAAGGAAATAAGTCCCCAAAATCAGTAGTACCTCAAAAAAATACTCTATTATAGAGACAATTTATAGGCTAGGTAGCATGGTGTGAGAAAGCTTCTGAAAGGCTGGCAGATAAAAAAATATGTTAAAACATTAATTTTCACCCCCAAGGAAACGATTCCTCAAAATCAGTTGTACCTCAAAAAAATACTCTATTATAGAGACAATTTATAGGCTGGGTGGCATGGTGTGAGAAAGCTTCTGAAAGACTGGCAGATAAAAAAATATGCAAAAAAATTCATCTTCACCCCCAAGGAAATGCTTCCCCAAAATCAGTTGTAACTCAAAAAAATACTCTATTATAGAGACTATCTATAGGCTAGGTGACATGGCGTGAGAAAGCTTCTTAAAGGCTGGCAGATAAAAAAATATGAAAAAAAAATCATTTTCACCCCCAAGGAAATTCTTCCCCAAAATCAGTTGTAACTCAAAAAAATACTCTATTATAGAGACTATCTATAGGCTAGGTGACATGGGGTGAGAAAGCTTCTGAAAGGCTGGCAGATAAACAGCTGTTGTACCTCAAAAAAATACTCTATTATAGAGACAATTTATAGGCTAGGTGGCATGGTGTGAGAAAGCTTCTGAAGGGCTGGCAGATAAAAAGATATGCTAAAAAATTCATTTTCACCCCCAAGGAAATTATTCCCCATAAAATCACTTGTACCTCAAAAAAAATACTCTATTATAGAGACAATTTGTAGGCTGGGTGGTATGGTGTGAGAAAGCTTCTCAAAGGCTGGCAGATAAAAAAATATGCAAAAAATTAATTTTCACCCCCAAGGAAATGATTCCCCAAAATCAGTTGTACCTCAAAAAATACTCTATTATAGAGACAATTTATAGGCTAGGTGGCATGGTGTGAGTAAGCTTCTGAAAGGCTTGCAGATAAAAAAATATGTTTATAAATTAATTTTCGCCCCCGAGGAAATGCTTCCCCAAAATCAGTTGTACCGCAAAAAAATACTTCATTATCAAGACGATTTATAAGCTAGACGACAAGGAGAGATAGCAGATAAGAAAAATATGTAAGAATTCATGTTCACCTCCAAGGAAATAATTCCCCAGGATGCGACATAGCTGAAAATTTCTGAAATTAGTGGACCAGATCACGCTATATGGTATCTACTAACAGGCACAGGAAAGGCAAATATCCGTCATAACTGAGCTGTTGCGAAATAACATCCACTTGAAATTTATCCTTTGCTCATCTATATCTACTTGACAGTCCAGCCTCATGTTCTTGGCAAGTTTTTGGAAAAAATGTATTATTATAGACACCGCAGTTATAACGGTCTTTTTGTATACCGTGGTCTGGTATTTTAAAATTGAACTTAGTTATGCTTATGTTTTTATACCTCAAAAATGTTGACAGTCTTTCACAATAAGTATCTTTGAAGAGTAACTCATTACACATGGGATCAAGAAACGTCACTAAATTTTCCGTGATAGCGAAAATCAGTAATGTGTAATGATTATTTTGGAGAACTAGCATAACTATCAAATCTGTGGTGAACGTAACGCTTTCAACGAAGGAAATGGGATAATTGTTGTCAGAAAATATTATCGATGATTTCGAAACTGAAACGATTTGGAATTTGTTGCCGCTGGATCTATTGATTGTGTGCAGGCAGTGATCCACGACAAAATTACTTAGATACTGCCTATCATCCAGTGTAGCACAATCGTCCTGAAGCAGTTCTTTAATTGAAAAGTACAGATCCCTGTTTACTAATACTACGTAACCCCTTTTATCCGGCAACTGTCGGTAGAAATAAATGTTTTCTACCAAACCGTTATCCATAACTTTTATTGGTTCGGCAGTTATCCACTTCCTTTGTGACTTGGATAGGTTTGAAAAACTTAGAACAGAAGGTAATAGATGGAACAAGTAAAACGTTCTCAATTTTTTAAGCATTATCGGGCAAAAGTTTTTATTCCTAGTCACTCGCAGGACTTTGACACCTTTGAACGTATAAATGACAAAAACGCACCAAGACCGATCAGTTATTTCAAGTAAACCCTGTATTTGGTAATGGTAATTATGTATGCCTCGAATAGATTCTCCATTCTTATTCAGAAAGTCGAAATCATATTTTTGGGGATCGGAATTTCGAGCATTGTACGGGAATTTGACCTCTACAATACCGTCTTCTCCTACAAACCCATCTGGTGAAGCAGCAAGATAAGGGTACTCACGGTGTATCATCAAGCCAGCCGTAGAACAGTGTACGTTCATTTGTTTTTCGTACAGTTGTATGGCGTCTTTCTCATATTTGAGGCCATGAGTAGTAGCTGGAGTTCTTATACTGTTTCCACCTCTAATCGCAGCTACTATGTTAGCGTACGAGTTTTCATCCCTTACCTTGCAAATTCTTCCGAAATACGACGAGGTAACTCTGATGTGTCTTTCCTCCTGCCATCTTATACAGTTGCTTTGAAGGCGTGTATCGCATTCTATCACAGAAATCCGTTCTGGGGATAACTTTATGGATTCTAAGTGTTCCTCACAGCTCTGATAGATATCACTCGAATTGGATATTTGAGGAAGCTCTGATGTGCATATATTGCATGTGAAATTGAATGTTTCCATATCGACTTTGTTTTCCAATTTCAAACAATATTCATGTACCCATTTCTTACATGCAAAGCACTGGACCCCATTAGTGACAACGTCCGTAGTACCATGGCCACAATAAATGCATTGCGTGAAATCGTAATCGTCCTCGGCAAAAACGCAGTCCTGAATGGCGATTTTATTATCTTTGTCTGGATTTACAACAGCTGATTTTAAATATATACCACTAAAGTGAGATGTGTGGTTTCTTGATGAAGAAGCTCTCTCACACCATGCCACCCAGCCTATAAACTGTCTTTATAATAGAGTTTTTTTGAGGTACAAGTGATTTTGGGGACTTATTTCCTTGGGGGTGACAATTAATTTTTTAGCATATTTTTTTATCTGCCAGCCTGTCAGAAGCTTTCTCACACCATGCCACCTAGCCTATAAATAGTCTCTATAATAGAGTATTTTTTTGAGGTACAACTGATTTTGTTGAATCATTTCCCTGGGAGTGAAAATAAATTTTTTAGCATATTTTTTATATGCCAGCCTTTCAGAAGCTTTCTCACACCATGCCATCCAGCCTATAAATTGTCTCTATGATAGAGTATTTTTTTTGAGGTACAACTGATTTTGGGGAATCATTTCCTTGGGGGTGAAAATGAATTCTTTAGCATATCTTTTTATCTGCCAGCCCTTCAGAAGCTTTCTCACACCATGCCACCTAGCCTATAAATTGTCTCTATAATAGAGTATTTTTTTCAGGTACAACTGATTTTGGGGAATCATTTCCTTGGGGGTGAAAATGAATTTTTTAGCATATTTTTTTATCTGTCAGCCTTTGAGAAGCTTTCTCACACCATGCCACCCAGCCTATAAATTGTCTCTATAATAGAGTATTTTTTTGAGGTACAACTGATTTTGGGGAATCATTTCCTTGGGGGTGAAGATGAATTTTTTAGCATATTTTTTATCTGCCAGCCTTTCAGAAGCTTTCTTACACCATGCCACCCAGCCTATAAATTGTCTCTATTTTTTTGAGGCACAAGTGATTTTGGGGAATCATTTCCTTGGGGGTGAAAATGAATTTTTTAGCATATTTTTTTATCTGCCAGCCTTTCAGAAGCTTTCTCACACCATGCCACCCAGCCTATAAATTGTCTCTATAATAGAGTATTTTTTCGAGGTACAACTGATTTTGGGGAATCATTTCCTTGGGAGTGAAAATGAATTTTTTTGCATATCCTTTTATCTGGCAGCCTTTCAGAAGCTTTCTCACACCATGCCACCTAGCCCATGAATTATCTCTGTAATAGAGTATTTTTTGAGATATAAATTATTTTGAAAAATAATTTTTTTGGGGGTGAAAATGAAGTTTTATTTATATTTTTTCATCTACCACCCCTTTAGAGATTTTCTCAGTATATGCTATTTAGCTCATTAATTACTTTCAATACCATATATATATACAATAATCGGTAAGTGAAAATTCGAAGAAAGGTTTTGGGTTAACTCTTGATCCTGCGAATTATTTAATTAGGGTGGAAAATAATTCTTCCTATAAGGGTGCTTATTCTCGTGCATATATATTTATTGTTGTGAGCTGTTAGCTGTATCCTTCACAATCACAGTCTGGTCGAGGATGTCGACGCCACTGGTCATTCGGGTATCTTAGGCAAATTGTCCCCTAAATTTTGTCTGCCAACTTCACAAGGGTAATATTGCCACTGTTTTCCCTCTACAGTGTCTATCTACAGAATGACACAATTAGAATTTCAATATGACGTTTGTCTCTTATTGTCCTGCAGCATCAACTATTATGTATTATATTATGTATGCATCGAAGAAAGAGACTAAACCAAAACACCAAAACAGTGATCATCGCGTGATTATTGCCTGATCAGACACTGATATATTTCAAGAGACTGTTATTGGGCAGAATAGGTCGAGCCCTTACACAGAACCAATGACAAACCAGAGGGTGGAGTGGGAGACGATACGACCGTGCATGCCGGCTGTCCCGCACGGGTATCATGTAAAAAACCTACAAAACGTCAAAAAAACCTATAAGATGTCAACTTGCAGACTAGGTGACTAAGTAGTTTTAAGGGCGAAACTGCCATTCCGCGTTTGCCCACTAGGATCGTTGAGAACGTCCATATATGAAGGAATCACTCAACTAAACTACACGCATTATTGGTTGCATAGTTTTGTGAGGCTGAGTGATACCTGTCTGTAGTTTTTTCTCTGAGAATGAAGTTGGTTGAATAACAAGATCGCATCTGGATGATTATGTGTACTGCTCTGCATGTGTATAAAATCAGTGATATCTGCTGTGTGAGAAAATCATTACTTAATATGCTGAAAAAAAAATATGACGGGTTATTTATATGTTTTGCTTTCTGAAGAGAGGTTATGTTCAAAGTTATAAATTACAAAAAGCTGAGGATAATTACGGGAAATCATCACCGCGACCGCGTTGTGTGTAATTACTGATAGCATGTATATGGCTTGTAATTCGACAGTGTACAGTGAATATAATTATTTCTTATCTCTCTCATTTTTGAAATTCACCAAATTTGTATATGTAGGTAATTTCCAGAATGGATAAGAAAAAGTGGATGCGCAACTAATTTGTAGCTTTGAATCTCAATTAGGTTTATTTGAGATAAGAAGCCAATGTAATTAACATAAACACATACAACTTACAGCTTAGACCTCCAGTAATGCCATCTCAGAAGCAGATTTTACATCACCTCAGAGCCAAAGATTGATAACAACCCTCATGACGTTTAGGCAACACGTACAACTAAGTGCTAAGTTAACCTCTTGGCGAAAAACCTACATAATAAAACAAACCAGCATAATGTCAAAAAATAGGCATAATTTCACTTTTCAAGATACGTGATCAAGGGCGGATCCAGGATTTCGTTAAGGGGGGGGGGGGCAAACGAGATTTGGGGCTGGTAATTTTTCTACCTCAGTGGAACTGCTACAATGCATCCTATTATTGCTTCTTAAATCCATTGTGTTGTATCTGTTCAATGCCAACTTGAAAAAAAAATATGGAAAGTGCTCAGAAATCCTCAGAAAGGCAATATTTTATTATATGAGAACAAAAGAATTACGTGGCATTTATAATTAACTAGTCTAATAATATTAAAGATTAAAACATAAAAATCTCCATTGCTCTGCTAACCAAAAAGACATTTTGAGGGACCCTGAGATATATCCCATCATCCATTCCACACAAAACAATGTCTTTGATGGCGAAAACGAAGATGAGACCAAAAAATTCACATTATCGTATGGACGCTAGACGAGACAAAGAAGGATGTCTATAGACCTCTATAGATCGTGTCTTGAGCCCGTCTCCAGACTATAAACAAATTGCGCAACGAGGTCTACTAGTGTGTACTAAGCTTAAGAATTAATACTCTGAACTACCCGTTAAACAAATCAAGTAATTGGTGTAAATACTGACACAATCAAACACTTCTATTATATCAGCAGGTGATAAAAATATCAATAGGTATAGTCAATTATTTTTTGAAATCCAATATAGATGTTACAGTTATTCTTCAGACTTTCGTTGTCGAACTTAGATTTACGGCATAGTTGTTGTTTTCTCAGTTTTCGAATCGGTGTTGATCGCATGTAAAAATGTTAGAAATCTTTGGAAAAAACTATATATGTTAGATCGTAATTATTTTGATAATGTATGTTTGTACGAAACAAGAATAGGCATACAGGGCTGTACATACTCACGTGCAGTGCAGAAGCTCTGTGACTTAAACGAATTCCAAGATAACAACATAAATAGAAACAAATGCGGGACGTGTGGTATTGACTTTGAGCATCGATCGACGCATTTTCTGGACAGGCTACAGGCGTACTGCTAAGCGAATCTCATAAATGTATATTTCCAATATAGGCGTTCATCTATAGTAACATATCGTCGGCTTAATTTTCAAACCTCTGTTCGAGCCTATTTTTCAGGGGAGCATAAAAACCAATTACACAGCTGCATGGTATGAATATTTGATCATCCCTTTTTCATTTTAATGCTATTCTAGGTCAGGATTAGGACTGCTACTTTGACTGTGGTGTTATTTTAATTTGCACTGTGATAATGGAGTTACGTGTTTTACCACCGAACAACCGATGGAGATACAAACTTTGCGGAGAGATACGATTTCTTATTTCTCCGCAATTAAACAGATCGCTGGAAATAAGAGGTATTCCTATACAAAAATTTAACGTTCAGTATAAAAAATAATATTTATTATGACACAGAGAACATAAAAATAAAAAGGATTTATATCAGGAGTGATTCGTAACGCTCTAAGATCGGTAACAACGGGGTCACCTGCACGCTTGCCCGGCCTTATGGTTTTGTAAAAATTCAAAGACCGTTCCATGTTCTTGAAGAATGTGTGGTCCAGATATTGTACGTAATATTGTTTCTTTTTACAAGCGGTCTTAGCTATATACGCATAATCTGCTGGTTTTGTTTCTCATAGCCCTTTCTATTACAGAATGCATACTGTCACACTCCATCTGTGTGCGGCCTTTCTCTAAATATTTTTGAATAACTGTAATGTTATTGATCATGGAGAAGTTGACAAGAGCGTTTGACAGTATTGCATTTCTATTCTGGTAAGTGCATCCGTCACTGTAAAGTATAATAAAAACAGTCAGCGCTTACAGTATGATTGGAAATAAAGTCTTGAAGAATTGATACCACAATAGTCGAGAATTCGTTGGCTGTCAAAGCACCTTCAGACTCGTTCCATACATAACAATAACCTTCACTCCTTTTTAGATCGTATACAGTGAAGTTATGCTGCAAGCTTTGTTTTAAAATAGAGAGATGCAACGTTAGATTTAGCACTTAAGAGCACCGAGTGTGAGTCCATCGTGAATACTTGATTGCTGGATATTTTATAAAGAGCTTTTGGCTCTCTGGCATTATTTTTCATTTCGATATGTCTCCTATAAACATCTTCAGTGACATTTCCAGTTTTGAACGACTCACAGACATCGCAACAATCTTTCTTGGGGCGATATAGGGAGAGGGTCAGTTCTTGGAACGTACTGTAGAAAGTTGCAATACTCAGAGGCAAAATATCCTTCCCAGTGCAGAATTCTTTCTTATAAAATTCATACAGTTTAGCCTTAGACGTCCAATTTGGTTCTAAGTATAGCTTTGAAGAATCTCTTCTGCTATACTTCTTGCTAAGGAATCGAATAAATCTTTTAAATGTTTGGCATCCTCGGTCTTACTATTATTTTTAGATGCATGTGAAATCCTTGATTCATGAGTAATCCACTGCTTAATAGCCCATTCTTCCAAACACACAGAAAGATTTAGAAACATTTTTTTGCACGCACGCAATCTCTCATTGGATGTGGTCAAGTAAAGTTCCACGGAATTAGTCCGCTTTGAGACATCTGACATACCCCTTTTCCTTTGTTGTTGCCTTACAAACAGCAGAGGTTTTAACGTAGATGCATTTCTCTTTCCAGCTCAGATTCCAAAAATTTTCAAATAGGACCTTTCTTTCAGACTCAGTTAGCTTACTGCATTGCAGCTTTGAACCCTGTTTTCGGCTCAGCTTGCACCCGCATGGACTCTGCATTCTTTTTTCCACTCTTCCTAAATCATTCTCCATTTGCCATCTATTTTCTTTTTTCCAAAGTATGCTCTTCCTGTCTCCCTTAGTGTTTTATTCTTGTAGACACTCCACTCTTCAGGTATACGCTTCTTTGATCTCTTCCTGGCTACTTCTTCCACTGATCCATTGCATGTGTCAGTTATTTGATCTTTCTGAGAGACAATTCTATCATTTGTTTGATTTGAGTTATTATCACTCAGCGATATAAGACGGATGTGTGGCGTCTCTGTAATATTCAAGAGTTCACGTAATTTCATTTCCACGTTTAAACTTTCTTGTCGTTTTATATTTATATATGGCTCAGAGGACGTAATATTATTTAGCTCGTCTATTATTGAGTTTTCGTAGCAAATAATGTCAACCACAGGATCATAAACGTCAGCTGCTCTAGAAGATAGTATTGGCATAGGTATGCCACTTAGTTCATCTTGTATGTGTGCAACGGACAACACTGGTGAAGGATCAAAATCGTGTTTATTGGAGATGGGCGTATGCCTTACTATCATTTCCGAATTTCCACGTACAGCTGTGACGTCCTTTCCGTACGCATCATACGGATAATTTTCTTTTTCATCGATTACAGCTAACTCACCGTTTTCTTGTATGACGTAAGAACCTTCTACCTTAGATATCTCCGAAATACAAATTCTGCAGGATCCTAATAGTGCGAGATGATACGGGACATCCTGTATACATATTATTCTCTATATTCAGAGATCTGAAACAAATATTTCTGATAATACCTGACATAATTTTCAGGTCAATTTTTTTCCTGATACTTATATGATTTTTTAACCGAGATTTTGCTATAATTTCGAACGCCAAGTTTAGGAAAAATTCGTATCTCCAGATAGAGACTCATAAAAATCATTAGCAAATTGCGTAACTCCTAATGAGAGTTGAAGCATGCCTTTTCTAACTGAGCACTACACGCTCGCAAAAACGCAAAAACAGTAAATATACTAAAAATGAATTCATATACTCACCTAAATAGATCTTCGATATATAATACTGAGATATTTCTGGGGTAACAGTAGGATTTTTCAGCGCAATACACTCGCACGTGCTACAAGCTATACTAACAGTGGAGATAGGTGGATTGCGTTTACACAAATAGTTCCGAAAAGTTACGTTGTATTCTAAATCATAGATATCTTTAATTGCATGAGTTATTGTGATATATGGTAATATAACAACAAGCCCTGAAATTGAAAAATTGAAAAATGAGGAAGCACAAAAGAAAGAAGTGATGTTGAGAAATGCGGCGAGAATTGCTAAGAAGAAAATTGGTAGAGAGACTGAGAAGGACAAGGATGCACAAAAAAAAGAAGGGATGATAAGAAAGTCGGAGAGAACCATGAATAAGAAATGTGTTATGGAGGATGAGGATGAAGATGAACAGATGGAGGGTTTTGACGTAGGAGATGACCTAGATGAGGAGGACTCGCTTTGTATTTATTGTAATGAACTTTACTCCTGGTCTCTATCAAGGGAATTATGGTTCCAGTGTCACATCTGTAAAAAATGGGCCCATACAGAATGTGCTGGGTTAGACAGAGAGACAAAAATGTTCAAATGTGAAATTTGTAGCTAGTTTCATATTTTTATGATTATTATGCCATCTCATCAATAGTTACTTTCATGAGATGGCGTACCATGTTTATTTTTAAAAATATATTTTTTCGTTTGGTAACAGAAAACCCTTTTAAATTTTGTGAAAACTTGCTTTATTTATTCCATATTTATATATTTCCCATATAAAAATAATTTTTTGGCCGTAAAGAAATAAATTATAGTACAAAAAGAAGTATGCCATCAGGCACATTTCCCCTACTAGTTTATTGAGCTATATACAGGATTAGTTCAAAGAGCATTTTACAGCAAAATACACTAATCTACCTTGCCGATATGAATTACAAACCATTCCGAAAGATAAATGTGATTTTTATGCGAAAAACAAAGGTTACGTTTTTTCTGCAAAGCAAATTTAAACATTTCGTATTTGTGAGTAATTGAGCAAATGCGCTACGATATTCGAAATACATACGTTACTATACACATTTTAAATCAAAGCGGATATGTCCATCATCTTTTGTTGCGAGTTGCTCACAAATACGAAATGTTTGAATTTGTTTAGAAGAAAAACGTAACCCATCCTTTTTTTGCATAAAAATAACATTTATCTTCCGGAATAGTTTTCGATTCATATCGGCAAGGTAAACTAGTGTATTTTGCTATAAAATGCCCTTTGAACTAACCCATGGATATTGTATGTATATGTATAAATGTTTGTTCAATGATTGCTCGAGTAGCATCGATTGAAACGCTTTAAAATTTGGTAGGTACATTGATGAGGTGAATAGAATTATTATATTCTGGAAATATTATCTGCTGTTTCTTATTGGAGCGAGTACGAGTACAGAGTAGGCCGCGCGGATCGAACGTCAGTACTGAATCTTAACCTCACTCTTTAGTAAACTTATATTCAAAGTTTCACAACAATACGTGCAGTGTTCTCACTACGGTGAATTTTTAAGTGTCACCAAGTCATTAGAAAAATGCAACTCAACCGAGAACATTTTCGCGCCATAATTTATTACAACTTTCAGAGACAATTATCGCAACAAGAATGCCTTGCTGAGTTACTGTCTGTTTTCTTCAACGAAGCGCCACATCAGTCGACAATTTCCCGTTGGTATGGAGAATTCAAACATGGACGGGTGAGTCTTAGCGACGATCCCAGGGTGGGTGCACCAAAAACGCCAGTCACCCAGGAAAGCGTCGATGCTGTGCGCAAACTCATCATTGAAGATAGACATGTGACATATCGCGAGAGTGAAGCGACGACAGTCGGCTGTTTGGGTGTTACAAGGTGAAGAAAAGCCAACAAAAGACATCCATTCTCGAAGAGTTTCGAAAAAGATGGTCGCGACATTTGTGTCAAAAGCGGTTCATATTGCAACAAATCCTCTTAGTGAGCAAAGAACTGTTACTGCGGATTGGTATACCACCATTTGTTTGCCAAAAGTCATCACAGAACTTCGAAAAATCAAGCACAGCCCAAAAAACAAGGCAGTATTTAACGGAAGAAAACGTGGAATTATTGGACCATCCTCCATATAGTCCCAATCTAAGTCCTAACGATTTCATTACTTTCCCGAAAATTAAAAACAGACTGCGTGGTCAAAGGTTCCAGTCACCAGAAGAAGCAGTTGACGCATTCAAAAATGCCGTTTTGGATCTGCCAGCAAACGAGTGGAATAAGTGCTTCGAAAATTGGTTCGAACGCATGCAGATGTGTATTAATCTTCGTGGAGAATACTTCGAAAAACAATAAAGTCATTTAAAACTACCTACTGTGTTGTTTTATTTCCATCTGCAAAACTTCCCTCGTATGCATCGAAGTGACCTCACATTATTTAAGTAAATACAGTTTGAAAAATGTTAGCTACTATATCTACTTTAAACTTTCAAAAGATGCCAGTTTCGTCTCAGTTCTTCTGGCATACAAAAGATATTATACTGAACCGGGGATGTAATGTAATGTATTTGTATTTTGTCACTACCTAAGTAAATGTTTTGACGTACATCAAGCTTTGGTAATTAATCACTAATGTAATTACCTCATTATGATGAAAAATAAATGAAACTGAATACTGATAATAACTTAGAAACTAGTGGTTTGCCCCGAAAGTGAACTCGCGATTTTTTGCTCAAAGAAAATTCGAACTTAAAATTTCTGTTCATTTCATCAATGCACCTACCAATTTCCGAAGCGCTCCGATCAAAGCTTCTCTAGTTATCGTCCAACAAACATTGATTACATACAGACGCCGGATTGTCTAAGTAGACCCGGAGAACTTCACTGACTTCGCTTGCTCGTTAAGTAAATGAATCACATTTTTTTTGTATCGTATATTTTATTTAAATTTTGAAGGAAGAAATAGAGCCTATTAATGAATGTATAAAATTATCTTGCCAGTGGACTTTTCCCTCGTTCACAAAATAACTCATAAATTCATTTCTTCTTTGTTTTGCTGTTCTCTCAGAATCTCCTTGACGAGTACGTTGTAATGGTTCAAGCGTTGATCTTCTAGTTATAAGTCCTGCTGACGTTGTACTCTCTTCAAAGTTTTCTCTGTCAAAATAATCTGACGAACCATATGAAGACAATGAAGTTGTCATCAAATAGTTATGCAAAACACAAGTTGCTCTAACAACTGACTCTATGTTTTTAGTTGACAAATTAATTTGTGTTCTGTAAATTCTAAACCTAGCTGCTAGTATGCCAAATGCGTTTTCAACTATGCGGCGTGCTCGTGATGTTCGGTAATTGTAAATCTTCTTCGCTCTACTATCCAAATCATTTTGACGAAATGGTTTCATCATATCTTTTCTAAGAGGAAACGCGTCGTCAGCTACGAAAACATACGGCAGCGTTTCATGAACTACCACTCAATGTCTCTTGTTCAGGAATGTTTAAATCATGATTTTCCAACTTTTCGTATTCAAGAACACTCCTTTGATGGATCAAATACTCTGCCATTTGTACCAAAATCAAACAACAAGAATTTGTATTTTGCATCATCAATTGCCATGAGGATGATACTATGTCTATTTTTGTAGTAGAAATAATAAGAACCACTGTTAGGTAGGAGGCACGATTTCAACGTGCTTGCCATCAATGGCACCTAAACAGTGACGAAATTTCCATCGTTCGTGGAATTCCCTTGCTATTGTTTTCCATTCACCTTCTGTCTGTGGTACCTGAAACAGAAATGGTATATTCATTATTCACTTTTATATGTACATAGTATCCAGGGTGTTTCAGTTTATTGTTGCATAACTTTAATATTCGATAGAGCTTTTAAAATTAATGCATAAAGTCTATATAAACATGGGTCGAAAAATGCGTGGCTTCCGAAATACAGGATGTTTAGATTTACTTTTTAAAATAGTTTTTTTAAAATATTTCGAACAATATTTGATGTATAACAGTGAAAATTGGTATACAAGGGTTTTTTGGTACGACAAAACGAACCATGGGCATAGTTTTACTGTAGCCGCTAAAGGCCGCTCTCTACTGTACCTGTAGTGTATTAAAATGACCGAAAAAATTTTCTTAGTGCGATTTTTTGCTTTTTGAATAAAAAAACTGATTCTTCGCACTTTTCTGCATAAAAAAGCTCTCCTGTGAGTTTTCGTTATAGTTAGCCGTTTTTGAGATATTTCGATTTTTAAGGTTCGATGCATTTTTAATTATTTATGGGAAAATATACTAAGTGACATATAAATCAGAACACCCAGTTTAAATGGTTTTATTTTAATAATATTTTGTATAAGTACTTAATGAAGCATAATAAGTAAATGATAAAAATTTCAAAATGATTGCACTGCTTTAAAGCCCTTTGACCTTTAATAATGTGTGGATGCACCCTGATGTGCTACGCATTCTCCAACGCGCCTAGGCATGCTTCTGATCAGGTGGTCAATGTCCTCCTGTGGTATCTCATTCCAGGCAACCACCAACTACTCTCGAAGAGCTTCTAGAGTCTGAGGAGGACGTTGCAAATTGAGCAATCTCCTACCCATCATATCCCACACGTGCTCAATTGGGGATAAGTCGGGAGATCTTGTTGGCCATGGTAACAATGTGACATCATTATGTTGAAAGAAGTCTATTGTGACTCTTGCAACATGTGGTCGGGCATTATCTTGTTGGAAAGTTTGATCTGCCAGGGTGTCAAGATAGGGTAAAAGATGGGGTTCTAGAACTTCGTGGATATAACGCTGCGCGTTCATGTTACCTCTGATGAAGATTAAAGGTGACCTGGAACCATAAGCTATAGCACCCCAAACCATAACTCCAACAGTGTTATGAACATGTCTTTCAACAAAAAACTGTGGATTCCTCCTTTCACCACGTCGCCTTCTAACCCTGGCACGACCATCGTGCATGCATAAACAAAATCGAGACTCGTCACTAAAGACAATACTGTTCCATTCCTGATCCCAGAGTGACCGTTGTCTGCACCACTCAAGGCGATTACGTCGGTGTTCTCGAGTTAAAGGGAGGACCCAGTATGGCCGGTATGAAAACAAGCCAAAACTTCTCATTCGTCGGTAAACACTTCGCATGCCAATAGGTCTTCCGTGTTCTGCAAACCATTCATTTGCAATGGACCTGGTAGTGGAGAAACGGTCCCTTAAGGCCAATAATCTTAGGCGGCGATCTTCACGGTCTGTTGTTCTACGGCGGCGTCCAGTGCCCCTTGCTCTTTGCGTACGGCCTTTTCGAAGCGATGCCTGACAACACCTAACCACAGTGTCTACACTTCTTTGCACTCTAACTGCAATTGCCCGAAAAGAAAGTCCAGCTTCCCGAATTCCCACTATACGGCCCCTATCAAACTCACTAAGTTGACGAAATCGTACAGGTCTCCGTACTCTAGGCATCGTAACCGATCGTAAAGAATGTCAAGAACCAAAATCCGCCAACGTTGACTCTTTACTGCGGCTGAAATATTCATTTTTAGAGCGTTAGTGAATTAAAGTATAAAAACCGGAATGTCCAACTGATAAGGCTGAAAATTGTTTCACTTGTTATTTACAGTAAGATAAATACATTCACCAACTTTTATTAAAATAAAACCATTTAAACTGGGTGTTCGGATTTATATGTCACTTAGTATACTATTTTTTTTACATTTTCGATTTGGGCATTACAAGTAATTAAGATGATCGTTTAGATTGTGTTTTTAAACACAGCAATAATTCCTAACCCCAAATAAACACAAAAAAACAGAATATTAATTTGTTTAATTTTCCAATATTATTTTTAACAAATTAAATTAATTATTTACAACTAAAATGCTATTGGATAGTTAGGACAAAAATACAAAATCTAAAGTAGTTGCTCGAAATGTAAACCCAATCGTTCAATACATAATTCACATCTACGACTGATCGAACGTGGTATAGCATTATTCAAATAAGGCCTTATTTTATCACATGCATTCCTGATTCTGTCTATTAGCATATCTCTTGTGGTTAAGGGAGTCTGGTACACTTTTTCTTTTAGAAATCCCCACACAAAGAAATCTAATGGATTTAGGTCAGGGGATCGTGGAGGCCAGGCGACTGGTCCTCCACGGCCGATCCATCTTTCTGGATAAGTTTCGTCCAGCCATTTTGTAACTATTCTCGAATAATGAGCTGGACAACCATCAAGCTGGAACCAGGCCAATCTTCTTAAATCTAACATAACATCATCCCACATATTTGCATGTTCAGCCTTTAAAAATTCCAAGAAAGTCGCAGCATTTAACCTTGCAGGCAAAAGGTAGGGTCCAAATAGTCGATTACGGTAGATACCAAGCCACACGTTCACACTAAATTCATGCTGAAAATTTCTTTCCCGAACTGCATGCGGATTTGCATGCGACCAAATATGTTGATTATGAAAATTTACCACTCCACGTCCAGTGAAGCATGACTCATCGGTCCATAAAACGTTACTTAAAAACTCCCTATTATTATCAGTTCTATCAAGAATCCACTGACAAAATGTGATTCTTCGTTCTCCGTCCCCTGGCTGTAGTCCTTGCACAGGTTGCAAATGGTAAAGACGTCTATGGTCATTTCTAACAACACGGTGAACATGGCTTGCTGAAATTCCCAAGGCACCAGATACTCTCCTAAGGCCGCTTGTCCACGGCACGAATTTGGGCCGGCACGGTAAATTTACCGCACGGTAGAAAATAAGTCTGGCTTTGTTCACGGAGACGTCAGTTTACTGAAGCCTACAGTGAAATACGTTTGATTTATCAGAATGGACGATGTATGTACTGTCATTGCGTTATATTATTTTTACAAAAAAAGACAGCGAATGATACTAGAACGAAGTTCGCTAGCTACTTTGTTTCCGAAGCTGGACAAATTCCTTGGCAAAATAAATTTGCATAATTATTATTATTTGAGTACTGTATAATGTATAATATAAAAATAAAAACGTTATAAAAAGCACATACCAATGTCGTTTCTATCTTTATCTGGTAGAGAGTCAAAATCTTCTTTCATTTGCCTGCATACTTCCTTCCAACTTTCCAAAGTCAATCGTTTGTCTTTATATTCATCTACAGTTTTATCCCATAAGACTGGCTTTTCCTGGACTAGAGTTATAAGAGTCAATATTTACTTCTAAGCTCATTTTATCACGCACGGCACCACTCTCCTCAAGCATCGAAATATAACTGACTATGTTATCGCATTATCGGGTAGCACGCTGCTGCCCGCTGATCGGCCACACGGTGAATCTGACGGTTTGTTTACAAACCTACACGTTGATACATGTCCGTCCGGCTGCCGTCTCTACAGTGGGAATCCGGTAGTGCAAACGGTACCGTATACGGCGAAAAAAACGTGCCGGCTCGTGGACACACATGAATATAATATAATGTATAACCACCTATCCGGCAAGTTCACCGGAACAGCGAACGGCGAATATTCTGATCGTGGACAAGCGGCATAACACTTGGTGGTCGGATCTTTATCAAACTCACGCAGAATTATACGGGTAAATCTGCGCAGACGAACATTTATGTTTTAATCGCTTTGGAGATTTCCAAAACCATTTTCAATTATTTGGCGATGCACTCTTACAAATACTGAGCGAGTTGGATGTCGTCGGTTTGGAAATCTTCGTCCGTATTCTCTGGCTGCTTCTGCTGCGTTTCCATTTACAAAGCCATACACAAAATGAATATCCGCTAACTCTTGATTGGAGAATAAAAATGGCATTTTTATGAAACTTACAAAAAAAAACAGGTAAAAGAAACTAAATTTCGTGCATTCATAATTGCAAAAAAACGTTTCAGGTTTCAACAGACAACAAAACTAACTGTCAACTAATTGACGTTTAACCTTATTCTGCTTTCAATTTCAAAAATATTTGCAGGCACAGCCTACTTCTAAAAATTATCGAGATGCTGACTTAACGTTATTTTATCATAAATAATTAAAAATGCATCGAACCTTAAAAATCGAAATATCTCAAAAACGGCTAACTATAACGAAAATTCACAAGAGAGCTGTTTTATGTTGAAAGGTGCGAAGAATCAGTTTTTTTATTCAAAAAGCAAAAAATTGCACTAAGAAAAAATTTTCGGTCATTTTAATACACTACAGGTACAGTAGAGAGCGCCGTCTAGCGGCTACAGTAAAACTATGCCCATGGTTCGTTTTGTCGTACCAAAAAACCCTTGTATACCAATTTTCATTGTTATACATCAAATATTGTTCGAAATATTTAAAAAAAAGCTATTTTAAAAAGTAAATTTAAACACCCTGTATTTCGGAAGCCACGCATTTTTCGACCCATGTCTATATAG